CAGGAATGGGAGGGAACCCTGTACTTTTACAGTACATTAAACAACAAACCCCCAGAGGTAGGCTATACCCTCTCGGGTTTTCAGAACAATATGCCACCAGAACCTCTTTTCACTAGTCCCTGCCTTTCCTAAGGGAGAGATTCCAAACCCTTAGTTGACATCTGGGACAGAACACCTTAGCAACTCATCTAGAGATGCATACTTTTACTCTCCAATGGTAGCGTATATGGTAAGCGTTGAGGCACAGGACTTAGACTTGGAAGTCAAGTTACAACATCAAAGCCAAGTTAGAAATAAGCAGGATTTTTATTTAATACAGAGCACAGCAACAGACTATAAAAGATTACCAAAATAACAAAAGGCTAGGGCTGTTCGCCTTAACTAAACATTAAAGATTCATAGTTACCCAGTTAGGAATATTCATCAGTCCAACATAGTCCAAGTACCAAGGCATTTTGAAGGGAAATCCCATTTTTGCACAGCCATGTGCTCCAAGTCACAAGCAACTCTTTGTCTCTCAAGAGGCAGCATTTCCAGGCGTCATAAAACAGATAATGACAAGAGGAGGAAGGGAGAGCTAAGAGAGCAAGAGCAAGAGAGCTCACTCCCATAGGAATCAAACAATTATAGTCCAATTCCAGTCATCAGCCAATTGCGAGTGGGCATGGGTGTATCCAATTGTTGGCTGTCATGGCTACAACATAGGATTGGCTAGAAGTTTGGAGCCCCTTCTGCAGTCAATTGACCTAGTTTCCAGGTACGTCATGGCCCACGTGACTAGTCTCATGTGGGCCAGAAAGTGTAGCCATGAGGTCTGGCTTTTGTCATGAAAGTGTGAAAGTATGTGGGTTTATGGCATGGCTATTGGGGCCATGTGGCCCCACCATTTGGCTTGAAACAGGAAACAAGACACAGCATGTTATCAGAAAGACCTCACAGGAGAAGGCATGTGGATATAGAAAGCAGAAAGCAATTTTTCTATACAGTCACCAACTAAGAAAATGGCTGGCGATTGTTGAACTGGATATACCAATTTATAATAGCGATTCAGTAATTATGAAGCACACTAAATGTGTCGTCATGTACTTCATCAGCGACCTCACCTAATTTCTTTTGCATATACAATAGTGTTATAACATCATAACATTGTAAAAAAAAAAAAAGGCTGGGTGTATCGTGAGGAGCAGCCTGGTTGCCACCATTTCAAAGGTACCCTGCTACTCTGATCCTATTTAGTCGCCAACTAAGAAAATGGCTAGCAAAAGATTCCCACAAAATCCTAATGAAATTAGTATTCCATTCACAATTGTGGAAGTGGAAGTGTTATTCAATCATTATGAATCATGCTAAATGTTAGCATTGCTTCACGTTTTGAGTTTCCATGATTATCCCACCAATTATATAATTCCATTATTTTTAGGTGTTTAAAAGACTGAATTGTCATGGAAAACACACTGGAAGCTATAGAGGAGGGGGGGGGGAATGAAGAAACAATACAAACACAAGGTGACCAAAGAAAGGGGGGGAAGGAATTTCATGGATGGGTAATTGCATGGAGAAGGCTACATGAAACCTTGCTGCCTGAAAAAAAATGTGTTGTAACACAATCAGCATTACACAATGAATGAATGAATGAATGAACATCACACTTTAAAAATTAGTGGATTGTTTGGGACAACCATGGGGCGGGGGGGAGGATGAACACATGACACTGATGAGACAAAAAGGCAGTGGGAAGCAAAATTAAAAATGGGGAATTCCTCACTAGAAAACAGTGAGTTCAGATCTGAAGGGGGGGAAATCACAGAAAAAGTGGATTCAGAAAACACGTGGTAATGTGGCCCTAAATAGGGATCTACTCCCAGAGTGGCAAAAAGCTGTGGATAAAGTTTTACAAACTTTGATTATTTAAGAACGCTGATGTGGACATTTGCACTTGTGTGGAAATGGTCTGAAACAATCAGCAGGCTCTTCCTGTTGACACTGCAACACCCCCCCTTCTTTCTGTTACAGCTATAAAGGAAACCATACATACACTGCCAGCTTTATTGTACTTTTTGTTATAATAGATTTTTATTGATTTTCCAAAAATGCAAATGAAATGAGAGTAATATCTTGTGATACATAAATCTCTCCCTTAAAACATAGAACAGAAAGTTTAACCAATAACCTAATAATATTTGCAGCTACAAGTATCAGATAATACATATATGATTTCATTTAGAAATTATCTGAACATTCTAGTATTAGTATCATTTAGTAATATAGATTCAAAGGCTCTTACTATAAAGTTTCATATTTTCTTAATCTTTTCTTATCTTTAATAAAGTCCTCCCTCTCCTATTTTTCCTTATAGGTTCAATTTTCCCTGTAAAACAGATATACCAATTTTTTCCCCTGAAGTATTGCCTTATTTTTAATACAAATAAAGATAAATGCTCCTTCTTTGTAATTCACCTACAAATCTATCTTATCCACTATTTTACTAAAAATCCTTACATTGTCATCTCTCTCAATTGATTTCTTAACAAAACAAGCAATTCTGTTTAGTTAGATTTTAATAAGAACTCCCTAGAGCATTCTTATATGGAGAGAGGCTAGATTTTCTTAATAGCCTCAAAGAGCCACTGCTAGTCTGAGTAGATGATGTTGACTTTGACGGGACCTAGGCCAATGCTTCTCTCTTTTGTTTGTCAGAATTATGTTTATTTATTTATGCAATTTTGCTGGTATGTGAATATAAAAAAACTTGCCCATGTCTAACACTTCCCCATTAAGCTGCAAATTCCTTCCTAGCGTTTGCTAATTTGTTGAAATACAACTTCATCCTGTCCCTAGATGGGTATGAAACATCCACAACCTATCTTCATCAGGTTGATGTCTTTCATAGATGCTAAATCTGAGTTACCTTCCTTTTCATTATTCCTTTTGATTGATCTGTCTCGTCTCTTTGTCTCTTCCCAGGCCTTAATAGCAGTGAGACGCCAGGCCTTAATAGCAGTGAGATTTCAATTCCCCTATTAACTGAAATAATTTCACTCAAAGTTGCACTGGCAACATTATTACCATAGAAAAAGACTATGGTATGGAAACAGTTTATAGCATTCCAGAGATCCATAGGCAGGCATTGCACTAGTGTACTAATGTTGTATATGTAACAGCACTATAGATTTCAAGGCCCAGAGAAAAAAATGGGAAAATTAGGAAGAATTTTTTTCTTGTTTTTAATTCAAGGATAGTTTTTAAAATTTTCTGATGAAACAATTGGAAAAGTTGGGAAACACTAAAAAACCTCCTGTAAAATATGTTCACTTTTGGAATGAGTGGAATGCTTTTTAAGACATGGTTTTATTTATTTCGAATTTATAGTATGAAGATTATTGTGTAAGAGAGTCTACACGTTAGATAACAATTCCTGCTTATATTGTAGACATCTGTAATGTATTTTCAAGCATATATTTATCGCTTAACTATAACTAATTTTGTCCACAGCTAATATACATAATAACAGCTAGTGTATATAATACACCATCAAATAGCTGAGTATCTGCATCCATATATGCTACTAGCCATGCCATGGCTGGATGTGACTGTTTCTGTCCAAATAACACATTTTCGTTTCTGTACTAAAATTTGTGTTTTATTCTTAACTTCTTTCATTCAGATAGTAAAAAGTAAGATATATATGCTAAGGTAGTATAGCATGCAGCATCTCTCACATATACATATATTTGGTGTATTAACTATTTTGTTTATGGTGATCCAAGGCATTTGTGATTTAAAATGTCATAAGTATGCCAAATAGTACCATGTTAAATAAATTACTGAGGATACAAATTAAAACAGTAAAGTGGGGTTGATTTAAAAAGTATTACATAGATTTGAATTTTCCACTAAATTCCACCCCAGTGGGATTTCCCCCACAATGGCTCCAAAATTACCTGAAATTTTACAGCTCTAAGTAACACAGTTCAAGTTGACAATACTGGGCACATGAAAGATCATATAGAGAAGATCTTCTTACCTACCAGCATCATGTTTAAATTAAGCCCTATTTATGTACTTTTCAAACAAAAACGTTCTGGACAGCAGTTAGTTGCTGTGAGATTAAATGTGCTCCCCATTTTACCAAGGCTCCAGGACAAATCAATCTCTTTGTAATTTTTTCCTGAAATGGAATTAACAGATTCATTTTCTGTAGATGTTAATGAGCATGCAACAGTTGATATTCTACCTTAATGCAGCAATCACAGCAATCAACTCTCTGCCTTTTTGATATTGAACTGCCTTTTCTAAATATAGAGTTGCTGCTGTTTATTTAATCGACTTATATAGGTACTAGGAATAAGGCCCGATGTGGAAATAAATACAGTGAGCTCTAGAAAGAGGCTCTGGGTGAGTGCCCGACCTTGGACACTCAGCATCAATTTGCTGTGCTGACCTCAGCAGGGTATAATGACACAGAGTCCACTGTTTTCTCCAGGGGAACTGATCTCTGCTATCTGAAGAGCAGTTGTAATTCTGAGTGGTCTCCAGCCCTCACCTGGAGATTGGCAATAATGGTTCCCCAGGAGGAAATGGCTGGTTTGGTGGAGTGGAAAATTAGAATAAAGCTGAAGAAAAACATCAAAACATAGTGCCAAAATATGATCTAAGTAACATTCCTGAAATATTTAAAGACCACGTGAAGAATAGATTAGCATCACTAAGGCCCCGGTCACACGGGCAGGAAACTGCAGAGGAGAAGCGTGGCTGTTTGCCCTGGGGCAAACTACTGCGCAGTTATGTGATCAGACCTCCTGTGGAGGTACCGTGGAGGTTCCATGGCAAGGGAGAGGTACCGATCACAGGACAAGCCGGCGCACAACGAAGAAGCGCGCGCCGCGGCAAACTGTTTTTTATTTTTGTGTACATGACAAATGCGCATGCTCCGTTGGGTGCGCATGCGCATCCACAGAGACTTGGACAAAAAAAACACACCTTATTTGCAAGGGGACATGGGCGGGCACCGGATGCCACCGGAAACGCGATCAGACGCCCGCCCTTGCCCCGCAGTTTCCGGAAACTAGTACCTCCAAGGTACTAGTTTTTTGCCACGCAGTTTCGGCTGGAAGCCTCGGTTGAGCCACGGGAGTGCTACGCTTCCCAGATGTGCTGGTGAGATCGCGCCCGGAAACTCCGGCTGTTTTCCGTCTCACTTGTGTGGCTTCTGTTACGTGTGACCGCAGCCTAAGTTAAACTGAACATGAACCAGAAGAACTATAGGTTGGAAATGGAGATATTATCAAGGACTATTCCTGTAGCTGAAAGAAATGAAAAGCCTGATGGCTGACTGATGAAACTCTTAAAATTGCTAAGGATTGACAAGAAGCAAAAGTAAAAGGTGACATAAATAGAATCAGAAGTCAGATTACTGGCAACTGGCATGTGGAGAGAAAGAGAACTGTTATAACAACCAGTGTAAATATATAGAAGAGAACGACAAAAAAGGAAAAACAAGACTTTTTGACAAGATCCGAGAAAAGCACAGTTAGGCAAGCTGAAAGATAAACATATAAAACCACTACTGAACAGGGTAAAATAAAGGAAAGATGGGAACTATACAGAAGAAATGAAATGAAGACAGATTCCTCCCAAGAAGAATCTTTTGAAGAAGAACCTATAGTTTTAGAAAGTGAATTGAAAACTGCACTGGGAACAATAGGGAGAAATAAATCCCCAGGAGTAGATGGGATATCAGTAGAGCTATTCCAAACCATAGAAATGAAGTCCATCAAAATCTTAGCAAAAATACACCAACAAATATGAAAAACAAAACAATGGCTCACATACTGGAAATGCTCAATCTACATTCCAATTCTGGAAAAAGGAGATGTCAAAGACTGTAGCAACTATTGACCCATTGCATTAATTTCTGATGTGAGTAAACTGATGCTCAAAATCTTACAACAAAGACTGTTATCATATATGGAATGAGAAATGCCAGATGTTCAAGCTAGATTCAGAAAAGGATGAGGCATATTGATCATATTGTGAGTTTACATTGGTTACTGGAGTATACAAGGGAATTTCAGAAGAAAGTCAGCTTGTGTTTCATAGATTACAGCAATGCTTTTGACTGTGCAGATCATGAAAAGTTATGGGCCATTTTAAACAAAATGAGTGGGCCACAACATCTGATCGTTTTGCACAACCTGGACTCTGCACAAGAGGCCACTGTTAGGATAGAATATAGAGAAACAGAATGGTTTCCAATTGGCTAGCTCATCAATCTGTATGCAGCATTTATCATAGGAAAGGTGGATTAGATTTCTGAAGGAGTGAAAATGGTGGAAGGACATTAACAATTTGAATAGTGAAGACTTGAAGACTCCTGATGAATGTCGAATCAGAAATGCTAAAGCAGGATTACTGCTGAACATCGAGACGACAAAAGTAATGACTACTTTGAAATTGCACACCTTTAAGGCTGACAATGAAAACACTGAAATTGTTCAAGATTTTCTGTTTTACTTGTCTCCATCACCAACCAAAAGGGGGACTGTATCCAAGAAATCAGAAGGAAATTGAGACTGGGAGGGGCAACCATGAAAGAGCTAGAAAAGATTCTTAAGTGTAAGGATGTGTCACTGGCAACCACAATCAAGGGCTGTTCCACATTCTCATTTTACTCCTTGTTAAGTTCCTGTTTCTTCAGGTTTCCCCCCCTATTCTGCATGTGTTTTCCTTCTTCTGGTGGTTGATTCGACATTGCACAGGTTTTTCCCCAGTTTGTTTCCCTGCAGTTTAAATCTGCAGTTCCCTTTAGAGTTTACTCACCACGTCGTGGCGTGGAGAAGGCATTTAAAGGGACCACATCCCATTAAATGCTTTTTTCTCTCCATTGGAAACATGGAGAGAATGTGAGATTTGGTGCCTCTACCTTAAACAACAGCCCCCCCCCCGAGCACCAGATACCCCCAGTTCGGTTCTCCATTATAGCCTATGCGGACCATTGACTATAATGGTCCACATAGGGTATAATGGAGAAACCCCAGATGCCCCCAGATCAATTCTCCATTATAGCCTATGGGGACCATTGACTATAATGGTCCCCATAGGGTATAATGGAGCCAGAAAAAATTGGCAATCCTGAATATTTCCTGAATCCCAATACCATACCAATATTAGGATTTGGTAATATCAGTATTTTTCAAGTTCAATATACCTGAACCCAGAAAATACCAATTTTCTTTTGTGCACACCCCTAGCCATGGCCTTCAGTTTGCAAGACCTGAGAGAGGCTGTTAATGAGAGGATGTTTTTAAGGTCATTATTTCATAGGATCACCATAATTCAGAAGTGACTTCAGGGCAGTTAATATACACACACACCACTGCAGCTCAAAGCATAATTTATTTAGTTCAAGTGTGAATTTTATAACAGTAGCTGACACAGGTAATGCAAGAACAGGGAGATCTGATTGAAAGTAGATAGTCTTGGGGGCATTTTCAAGTGTTGTTTTTCTCCCCTGGGATTGTATCCTGGAAAAGATTGACAGTGACATTAGACCTTCATGAGCTTTTGAGGTTTCTTAGGGGAAAGTGAATAACCAAGTTGAAAAATTCAGTATTTATTTGGACTCCCTAAAAGCAACAGGTTTAGTGGTGGTTTGCATATGCCCACTTCTGATAATCTGTGTATTCAAACTCTGTGGGTGGGAGCAATTCTAAGCAGGTCTACTTGGAAATAAGTCCTGATTTATTCCATGTTTTTAGGATTGCAGGCTGAAACATTAATTCATAACTTATTAATGGCACAATTTTAGCCTAATTTCCCTTTCACTGTTTTGTGACCCTTTTTTTCTTACTTGCCTAGTGTTCTCTTATACAGAGGCATTGGGTTAAATAGGGTTTTACAGCCAGTAAAGAATTAATTCTGCATTTGGAATAGTGAAATGTTTTAAACAGTTTCCAGATACTGTATTAAACAACAAGTAGTTATTAGATGTTTTGTTTTATGCACAATGCACGTCATTTTAATAGGAACTAGTGTTTACTTTAAAAGAGAGAACATGACGTTTTCTGGGCTTGAGCCTCTGACAGATGGTGGCTAGACTTTTTCACTTTCTAGTAACTGTTCTAAAGAAGCGTTAATAGATCAACTTTCAAGGCTTAAATGCATGCAAAATTCTGGTCAATCAAAGCAAAATTGCTTTTTAAAAATTATCGACTACTAATGCTGTAGAAACATTTCACCACTAGAGGATCCTGTAGTACTTTGTATTTGATAGTGGATCCCATAATGTTGCTACCTTTTCTCCTATATTTTGTGGGCATGATTAAGCCAGAAACTGGCATATATAAGTATTATTGGTTAAAATATGAATTTAACCATTCCACTTTTAAATGTCCATCTGTTATGTGTATTAAGTGTAACCATTTCCCCCCAGTATTTCTCAAAATGTCATAAAGCTGAAAGTGTGTTTCATGCGTCACTATATCCAACCTTACAAAACCGTAATGTTTCCTTCACTAATTCATATCCTGCAGTTATTAGCCTTCTGGTCTTCAAAATTTCTTAAAGTAATATGACTAAAAGCCAACTAAAACAATAAATAAATGGTGTCACAAAATAGTTGTATAGTAAAAGGTTTATCACTTGCCCAGAATGACTTGCACATCTCTCTCCTTGCGAACTTGGACAGTTTGCACCTGAGTGGGGTCAGGTGGCACCTGTCGTAGTCACTTAGTTGTGAGATGGCCAAATCACTTGGTTGCCAAAGGTGAATGACTCCAGCGTTGGCTGCCTGAGGCACACAGCTCATACTGGAGTCTGTTGACTGGTGTGCAGCCCTGTAAGTCGAACAGCAGTGCCCACTTGAGTGACTTAGTGGCTGTGTGGCTGAGTGACTTGAGCAGTACATGCTGCAGCCTCTTGGCCACCGAAGCCTCTTGGCCAGCATGCTGGTTAACCAAACTTTACAGTTAACCAGGTGCCAATTTAAAAAGTTTTTACTGTTTCTGATTTGAGACATACCACAGGTGAACAGGACTCTTGAGAGTCCCTTGGACTGCAAGAAGATCAAATCAGTCAATCCTAAAAGAAATCAACCCTGACTGTTCCCTGGAAGGCCAGATAATGAAACTGAAGCTCAAATACTTTGGCCACCAAATGAGAAGGGAGCACTCACTTGAGAAGACCCTGATGCTGGGAAAGATTGAAGGTCAAAGAAAACGGGGATGGCAAAGGATGAGATGATTAGACAGTGTCATAGATGCAACGAACATGAAGTTGAGCCAACTTCAGAGGACAGTGGAAGACAGGAGGGCCTGGCGTGATCTGGTCCATGGGGTCGCAAAGAGTCGGACTCGACTGTGCGACTGAACAACAACAACAGGTGAACCTTTTTCCTGTTAGATAAAAGGCCCCTTTTACTGTATGAGAGCAGTCCAGCATTCAGTGTGAGATACATTCCAAACTAGGTCTAGTCTTTTTTAAGGAGTTCAGTTCTGTATACCTGAAGGTTAAAAGAAATAAAGTCAAGCTACATTATGGTACCTGTTGTTCTGGCAGGAATGAGGCATTTGTGCTCCTGGCAACAGCAGATTTATGAGGAAGTTGTTTACATTCAGGCAGAAATTGCCCTGAGAATATTATGTGTGCACATACACATCCATTAAGGTTTGCCCCTGGGGTTTGGACATTTTATTGGTTGTCACTTGAATAGAACTGGCTGGTGCATAGTTAAATGAGACTGCTGTTACAATCAGTTACCTATTCTGTAGTCACTTTGTTATTTGATGGTTCATATAACCAGCTCATCTATACCCCTACTACTTTATATGAATGGTACTAAATCTACTTAAGGAACTAATCTTTTTTTTAAATTGGAGGATAGCAGTTTCACCATTTTTGTTTCTGTTCAGATTTTCAGTTCTAATTATATAAAATTTGCTGACCTCATAGATAAATCCTGTCCCACAGAATTCTTTTCTAATTCAATCTTTTCTTAAAACACATAGGCAAATGTGTGAGACCTTCAAGTTTCTCAGTTCCTCAAACTCAGCCAAAGGCTTGCTTATTTTAACTAGAATAAGCTGAGTATTTCATGATTTACTAACTGTGACTCTTCCAAGTGAGATGAAGGAATAGGACATTAGCTCCTAGCAAAAAGTTGCTCTAAGCATGCTTCCTTTGTGGAACTGCTTTCAGAAGCCTTTCTTGTTTTGTTTGGTTTCCTACATCGGGGGGGGGGGCTGTTACCCAGTGGTAGAGGATCTGCTAGGCACACAAAAGGTCCCAGGTTCAGTATCTGGTATCTCCAATGTACGACCTGTAGCTGGAGGCTTCTGCTGGTCAGTGTAAGACCTGTAGCTGGAGGCTTCTGCCAGTCCTAAGAAGACAATACTGACCCTAATGGACCAAGGGTCTAATTTGTATAAGTCAGCTTTCTATGTTCACGAGAAGCTTCTGCAACTTAAGAGTTTCTTTTGCTCTCCATCAAGTTAATCACTGTCATAGTAAATTCCAAGCTCTTTTCTTCAACAAATATTTTTTTGAAGGTACTTTGTTCTTTTTTCTGATTTTTTCCATTCTTACTAGTTTATTTCTCACTTTTGTGTCCAGCATCTCTCTTATAACTGCATTTCCATGGTGATTTATGTAGATGCTTTATATTAGTCAAAACAGTTCTTAACACTTGTGTTTTATTTAAAAACCCATTAATTTCATTTACATTTGTACATTCTGTAATAACCCTATTATAATATTAGGACAACTATCTGTTAAAGATAGCATCCTTTATTTTAGAGGACTGAAATAGTCTACTTTCTTAAGAACTCTTTAATTGTATATGATCTGGACTCACCAACTTTTCATTCCTTTTGGCACTGGGACACCCAGTGTTACTAGAAGAATTGCATATTCACTGTGGGGTAGTTTTTCTTTGTGGTCTGTAAATTTTATAGACTATTTTGTTTAATACAATTAATTTACAGTAATTAGGGATAGTCCAAATGATCCGTGTTTGTGTGCCTGCAAGAACTGCTTGTGTGATTAAGGTTTATCTTCAGGAGGTGCTGCAAGGCCTGCCTGTTTGTCAGGGCATTTGAGGGAGTCCAAAGTGGCAGGCATCTTTTAAGGGGAGGAAGAGGGAGAGCTTTGGGGTTTGTTATTTAATTTTGCTTTTGAACTAAATAATGGTTTTTAGCTATTATTGTAAGTAGCCTTGAACCATGAGGAAAAGCGGGATATATATGTTTTAACAACTCAAATAAATAAATCAATAAATAAAATTCTTTACATGATGCAGCTCTGGCAAACCAAATCACAAGATAGGTTTTTAAACTGAACAGGTATTTTAGGATGCTGCTATAGAGATGCTCCTCAGTAAAAAGGTGGGTGCGACTTGACACTAAAATAAGTTGTCACTGTGAATCCATACAGGACTGGAGGCTGTTGAATTGCAAAGTGTTTCCATCAATCTCTGCATTGAGGAAAGTTCATACTTTTAAGAGCCAGCTCAAGTTCATGTGTGGAATGGGTTTTTATTGATCTGTTTGAAATGAAGAGGTATTCTTATTTACAAATATTCTTTACTATTTTTTAATATTTAAATTTTTAATTGGCAATAATAGTTTCAAAATACAACAGTTAGATAAGACAGTTTATAAACAATGTTGAGAAAGAACTTTTTTCGACATATATGACATCATTAACATGTAGAATAACTTAACAACTTTGAAGTTAGCTGGAATACTAAGATTTGGAAGCTATTAAAAATAGAAACTTAACATTAAAGAACAATTTCTGTGCTAAAACACTCGTGAATGAACCAAAGTGGGAGCCGGAGGAAGGCTTGGCTTTGGTAGTGTATTTGTCAGTAATGCTTTCCATTATATACTGGTCCCATAGCTTACAAAACCATGTCTGCGTATTAGGTGCTTTGTCATTCTTCCAATGTGAGGCAATAGATGTTCTTGCTGCATAAAGCATTGTTGCAAGTGTGCTCTTATAATGATGTTCTTTACCATTTTTCATGGGAGCAGAATAAGTTTGATTTTTTTTCTTTTTACAGGTTACATGATGATAGAATTCGAGTAGAAAAAATGGAAAACAAGCATTTTGAATACAGCAGTGCTTTCCAGCTGATTACAGATTTTTATGGTAGTCAAGAACATGATAGCACAGGTACCTAATTCAGAAACACATTGAGATTCATCTGATCAGCTTTTATGTGCGTTAAGCTTATTATTTTACAAAATTTGCTTTACCATGTCATGTTTTTGGCTTTTTGTAATTTAAAAGTGGAGTAAAATATTCTGCAATAATACTTATTAAGGTGTTTTAGTGTTGTGGAATGAGAACATAAGGATAGCCTGCTGGATCAGATCAGTCATCCATCTAATCCAACATCCTGTTTCACACAGTGTCCAGCTGGTTGCCCTGAAGGGCAAACAGGAAGTAGAGTGCATCCACCACTGCTGTCTCCCAGCACTGGAATTTAGGGATTGGCTGCCTCTGGATATAGAGGTGTCCTACAGTAGGTAGCCATTGATGGACCTCTCCTCCCTGACTCTAAGCCCTTTTTAAAGCTATTTAAAAAGCCCTATTTAAAGGCTATAACTACCTCCCTTGGCAGTGAATTCCAAGGTTTCATTACTTGTTGAGTAAAGAAATATTTCCTTTTGTCTGTTCGGAACCTATTGAAGAAGAAGAAGAAGAAGAGAAGAAGAGATTGGATTTATACCCCGCCCTTCACTTGGAGTCTCAGAGCGGCTTACAAACTCCTTTCCCTTCCCCTCCCCACAACAGACACCCTGTGAGGTGGGTGGGGCTGAGAGAGCTCTGACACAAACTGCTCTTTCTCAAGGACAGCTGTGCCAGAGCTTGTGACTGACCCAAGGTCACATCAGCAGGTGCAAGTGGAGGAGTGGGGAATCAAACCGGGTTCTCCCAGATTAGAGTCCGCACACTTAACCACTACACCAAACTGGCTCTCAATTGGCCATTCTCTTATCAATGCCTTTCCTACGTCCTGGCATTCAGGTTGCCTTTTCACCTCTGAGTCTTTTGTCTGTCATTGAGTTTTCCACAACAACCCCAAAATCTCTTTCACTCTCATTCTCAGCCAGTTGAGATATATTTAAAAATTCTCAGACAGCACATATTTAAAAATTGTGAGTTTTTGTTCCAGTATGAATGTACCTTACACTTACCACATTGAACTTCATTTGCCATGTAGTTGCCCATTCACCCTATTTAGAGATCTCCTCTTGTAGCTCTTCAAATCTGCACTCTTCAGACCCATGCTTCATGGGATATAGGTAGTTTACGTGTAAAAACAGCTCCAGAGGGTATTCCCAGTGCTCAAACTGCAATATGTTATGTTGAATCCTGACTAGGGATGTGCATTCAGCTATAGCTGAACCGAAACAATACCCAAAAAATACCTTGTCAGTATTTTTCGGGTATCACATAAGCCAAATACAGATCAGAGATCTCGGGGAGGGAAAGAAAGGCATTTCAAACATGCCTGCCCTTTGTTTCCCCAGCCTGCCCGCCATGGTGGACAGGCTGGGAAAGGGAAGGGCAGGCATGCAAACATACCCCCTTCCTTCCCTGAGCCTCTCTGTTTTCGCGGAGAAACTCAGGGAAGGGGGGCTTGTTTAAATGCCTTTCTTTCCCTTTCCCAGATCAGGGAGGGGAAAGAAAGGCATTTTAAACATGCCTGGGTTCCCTGCCTGATCTTCTCCAGGTGCCCCGCAGCCTTGGGGAACCTGGAGAAGTTCAGGCAGGGAGCCCAGGCATGTTTGCAGGCATGCAAACATGCTCCCTTCCTTCCCTGATCCTCTCTACTTTTGCAGAGAAACTCAGGGAAGTGGGGGGGGGCATGCTTAAATGCCTTTCTTTCCCTTCTCCAGATTGGGAAGGGAAAGAAAGGCATTTTAAGCATGCCTGGGTTCCCTGCCTTATCTTCTCCACATAAGCTGAATACAGATCAGAGATCTCGGGGAGGGAAAGGCATTTTAAACATGCCTGCACTTTGCTTCCCCAGCCTGCCTGCCGCAGTGGACAGAAAGGGAAGGGCAGGCATGCACACATGCCCCCTTCTTTCCCTGAGCCTCTCTGCTTTTGCAGAGAAACTCGGGGAAGTGGGGGGGGCATGCTTAAATGCCTTTCTTTCCCTTCCCTGGATCGGGGAGGGAAAGAAGGGCATTTTAAACATGCCTGGGTTCCCTGCCTGCCCTTCTCCAGCTAGGACATGTCAGCTAGAGAAGGGAAGGCAGAGAGCCCAGACTTTCCCTTGTCAATTTCACTCACAGCTGATTGGTGGGGAGTGAAATTGACAGGGAAATCTGTAGGGGCTACCAGAGGGAAGGAAGGCATTTTAACATGTCTCCTTTCCCTCTGGTGGTGTAAATCAGACCCGAAAATATTCGGCAATACTGAATATTTCCACAGTCCGAATACCTTACTGGTATTGGACAGGGGAAATTTGGCATTTACCAATATTTTTGGGGTTTGATTTACCTGAAGCCGATAAACACTCGTCGGTTTTTTTTGTTTTTGCACACCCCTAATCATGACAGGGGCAAGTAGAATTCTGCTTGTGGAATATGGATTTCCTTCTGTCGTAAACTTCCCCCAACCCCCAAAACAATTTCTGAAGATTGGCAGGATATAGCATGGTGTTTGCAGTTGAAGACTAGAATCCATGTAAATTTAAGTTCAGACATCTTCCATTTGAGCAAGAGACTCATACTTAACACATTTTTGAAGGATATGTGCTCTCTACTTCTCATTCACTGGAATGTACAAACCATTCTCCATACCAGAAGGCTACTTTCGTCTTCCATATCAATAACTTGTGGGCATGATATTGCCGTATATAACCAAAGGGAAAGTACTGGATTTTTAAATTTATTTTTCTGGAGCAACTCATACAATAGACTTGCAGATCAATGGAGCTGAAAAAATTGGTAACGTTCCTTGCCTAGTCATGCATTTTGTCCGAAATAAAAATACTGTGAACAAATTTATATTAGCTGTGTAAATTACAGAAATTGTAGGACTAGTGACTGTTACCCGTTCTTTGGATTAGCTATATACACATCACTGTAGGAGAGATGATTATTGCAGAATCCAAATGCGTGTTATCTAAAAGAAATATTTGCAGTAGAGGTGATTAGGATGCCAGTTTGGCAAGGAGGCATACATAGTGATATATAGTGCAGAAGGATAACAGTCTCTTGTACAAGCTAGATTTTATATCCTGTTGCAATAAAAGCTGCTGATATACAACTAAACAAATTAACGTTCTCTTTTTCAGGATCCCAAGCATTGTCTTTCATCTTAAACTTGGACAAGCCCGTGTTATGCTCCTTGGCTGCTGTGATTACTTATCTGAAAGAATTCAATTTAGAAAAAATACTGCATAACCCTCAGTAAGTAACTCTTATTTAAAATAACCTAAAAACAAACAAAACAGCCCTATTCTGGTTAAAAAATATTTGTTTCCTTTTAAATTGATTTTTATAATACCATCACTAGCTCTGGCAGTAAACTGATTGTCCTCTATGTGGCGAATGATATCTGCACAAGGATGGGGGGGTTTCCCCCTTTGGAAAGACAGACTCCTGGGTCTGCAGAAAAATTGATTTGTAAATTAATCAAAACTAAAAAAAAATCTTAAAGAACTAGGTTGATTTTCAGAAGGGGAAGAATGTGAAAGCAGCTGAGTATCAGCTGAAGAAAAAGGAGAGAGAGAGAGGAAATCTTCCTGTTCAATAGATTAGAATCCTGAAGAAGGAGACTTTGAGGGATGGATTTTCAAATTGCTTATATGTTTGGGTGATTTCTCACAGCCACTCAGCCTGTCACTAACCAGTGGGGGACCCGCGAGGTTCCATGAAAGGGAATTCTTCCCCACATTCCCACTATGGCTTCCTTCCCTTGCTGTCATCATCCCCCTCCCAAAAAGTGGAAATTTACAGTGGAATCAAAGCCTGTTTGTAACCAGTATGTCACAAATCAAGGCAACAGAATTTACGAACAGGCTGCTTGCTTTAGGAATGTCATCTAAATTAGTTTGTTAACAGAATATGGACCGCATAAGTGCTGAAATATAAAAGAAAATGCTTCAAAAAGAAAATGTGAGTTCTGTCTCTCTGTCAGAGTAAGCCTAAATTGTTAATCTGAACAAATGTGCCCAACAGTAAGTAAGCAGGAGTTCATTGATCGTATGTGACATAGAATAGGTGAAGTGTGGTTGTCCACGAAAGGCTTTTCAGAAGACAAATACAATATGCAAGGTCTTGGGGGACAGTGTGGCATGTTTCAAATGACATGTCAGATTAACCACAGGCTCCCCCCCCCTTGTCTGTGATGTGCTAAATTGAATAATCTGGATTCATATTTAAGCATGTAACACTATAAATTGGATTACGTTGGCTAACTTGTAATGGATATATAAGTAGAAAAGAGGTGGCCTTTGTGTAGGATTCAAATACTTGCAGTAGGTGGAGTGCAATTGGCATTTAAAGAGACACTGTTTGAAAAGCAGGTTGGTGCAGCAGCCAAGAATGCTGTCTATCGGCTGCATTTGATTCACTCACTCCTTTCTTAGACTCAGTTGATCTGGCCACACTGATCCATGCATTTGTAAACTTGCAGTTGGATTACTGTAATGTGCTGTGCTTCGGGATGCCCTTGAAGACAATCCATACAATGCAGCTGATTCAGAATGTGGCAGCCCCATTGGAAAAACATCTCACCTATCTTAAAACAGCTACATTGGCTGCCAGTTTGTTTCCAAGTCCAATTCAAGCTTCTGGTTAGGGTCTTTGCTGGTGAGAGCCAGCCCCCTCCTCTCCCCACCCCATTCCTGATGCTGTGGTGCAAAAGGCACCTCACTAAAGTGCAAGGTGTCTTATTTTGTAATTTTATGGCAAATGTAAACATGATCTCCTTTTATGTAGGAGAAAATTGTGTGTTAAAATTATTCTCCTGCATTTGCTCGATGTTCTGTTTCTAGGAACAAGCAATCACCATAGTTATTAATGTACCACCGTGGAAGCCGTTTATGTCTTTGCTATGAATTACTGTTGGTTTCATTTTTCTTTCAGTAATTTTAAGAAGTTATCAAGTGAAGCTGAATACATGACACTTAATGGAACTACACTAAAAAATCTAGAAATCCTACAGAACCAAGTAAGAGAATATAGAAAATCCTGTGCATTTGTTAGCTGTGTTGGGAGAAATTCATGCAAGGGATGGAAAGAAGAATGCAGGATGCTTTTAAACAACAGCTGAGTGATGGGATAATGTTATTTCAACACAGGATCAGTATTTTTAACAATTTAGGCTTAGTGATGTTTTCCATCTATTTATCTGGAATGAAACTTATGCTGGTAAGGCATGTACCTTCTTAAATTTCACCACCCTTTTAAAACAATGGATGCTTGGTCAGCTGCTTTCTGATCTCTCTGTTATCAAACCATTTAGACATAGTATTCACCTCAATATTAAATTCATTATACATGTGAATGAAAAATAGCCTGGGTGGCATTTGCAGGAAAAATTTGGTGGGCTAGAAGGGAACTTAAATTCTGCAAAGGTTCCTCTCCCACCAGTACACGCACAACTAGTTTTAGTCAGATTTTCCCCCAGCTAAGTTCTTATCTTGGAAGTAAATCTAGGTGGGGGATTGTTTACAAGGAAGGATTTTTGATGATGATTAAGCGACCTCAGTCCTTGCCTGCCAGTTCCCTCTACACATTTCTTCTACTCATACATTCAGGTTACCTAAGCAAACGCAGGTTTAGTAGCACACACATGAGAAGGTAATATATATTTCCACTCACAGAAGGTACAAAGACATCCACCTACCTTCATATCAGATCATTTCTATGTTCAGAATGATGCTGACATCGTTTAATAGCAGCAGAGCCAATGGCTGCCATGGGAATGGGGCAGGGGAAACAGCTGCCGTATAGGAAGGATGGAGAAAGTCAGATTTTCCCATTGATGCAGCAGCCATCTGGGCTTTACTGTGATCATTCCCAAAACTTACTCTGGCAGAAAGTTTGAAAAAGATGGGGAAAAGCCAGGGAAATCTCAGGAGGTGCACAGATGTACCACAATGCTGTGGAGGAGAACTGAACATAGGACAAAAAACCTCTGTGGAAATGGCCCTTTTCCATCTTTCCCCCACTTTGTTGCAGTCTTTCCCAAAACATGGTTTGGTAAGATCTTTTTTGGAAGGTCACAACATCTTTGGATGCTGTGTAAACAGGAAGGTGGTCGTTTTTGCAGATCCCATCCACATTGGCATCGTATTCATTGCCTCAGCCCTCACAGTCACCCCACCCCCCCGACTCTTACGGGCTTGTTTTTTTAAGAAAATCATAATTGACAGACTGCTGTAGCACAATAGCATTATAATGGTCTAATGCTACAATGCACTAGTTCCCAGCTTTAATTTACAAAAGTCTCTAGCTCTTTTCATTCTGGAGTTAGATAACGCTGCAACAAAAAAGGCTAAAGGCTTATTTTTAAAATGTTGTAGCACTTTGAAATGTGGTAGAGTTAAGCATTCCCTTCCCTTTTTAAACAGCTATTAGATAGCCATAATAAATTGTTACAATGTTATTGCACTGTAGCAATCTGTTAATTACCCTTTTAAAAAAGCCTATAAAAGCCCTCCAGTGGGGGAAGATGGCTGCTTTATACTGAATCATGCTGGTCCATCAAGGTCAGTATTGCCTCTTCAGACTCTGGCAGTGGCACTCCAGGATCTCAAGCAGAAGTGTTTCACATCATGAACCCCTTTTAGCAGGAGAAGCTGGGGATTGAACATGGGACTGTCTGTGCGCCAAGCAGATGCTTTACCTCTGAGTCATAGTCAAAGTAAATACAGAATTAAGTCAAAAAGATGTTCCAGGCTAGACAAAGAGAACCAGAGCAGGTTATACCAAAAAGCATATTAGTAAAATACCTGGTTCCTAAAACTTGACTGTTGGGGTACTGCCATTTAAAAAGCCACATCTCAAGTTGTACTTGTGAAAGGAGGCTAAGGCAAGGAATGTGGCTGTGGAGATGTTCTGATGCCTATGGTGTGAGAGCCAGTTTGGTGTATTTATTTATTTTATTTATTTATTGGGATTTTTACCCCGCAAAGCGAGCTCAGGGCGGCTTACAAGGGGCAAAGCCCATATAAAACATAGTAAAAGCAATAAAAACATTAATAACAATTAATCACAACAACAATAATACTCAATTAAAACAAGATGGTCCCCAGATGTATGCCATGATAGTAAACAGACAGTTCTCCGGAGATGATGTTGTCTTATAGCCGATCCCAAGCAAGTAAGTCCGGTGGTATCAGTCACGCAAAAATTGTGGTAGATCTTCCTGGGCCATCCTTAACCCCGATGTTGTCCACATTGGTGGCAGTGGTATTGGCGGCCCCTATGTGAAAGCCTGGCGGAAGAGTTCCGTCTTATAGGCCCTGCGGAACTGCATAAGGTCCCGCAGGGCCCTGATCTCCGGGAGCTCGTTCCACCAGGTAGGAGCCGCCACTGAAAAGGACCTGGCCCTAGTCACGGTGAGCCTTACCTCCCAGGGGCCTGGAACCACCAGGCGATGTTGTGCCCCAAACCGGAGTGCTCTTGGGAGTATATGTGGGGAAAGGCGGTACCTTAGGTAAGTCGGACTCTGGCCATATAGGGCTTTAAAGGTAAGATCTGCATTGATGCAATTGTAGCATATCAGAAACAGCTTTGCTAACCATTAGACGTATATCCAGAACTGTAGTCCAGAACTGTAGCCCTAATGCCTGCATTAGGAAGGTGGAGCCCCTTTTAAAGGTACTCCTTCTAACCTTCCAATTGGTTGGACTCCATCCTCAACTGCCAATGATATCTCATATCTCATTTGAACAGAGGGGTTGACACAATGGTATCCATGAATGTAAGAGCCATGAAATGTCATATACATTTTCTTATTCTCTGAAAAAAGCTGACCTGCATTGTATACAATAGAGATTCTTTGTTCCTATGTCTGTCTGCATGTTTATTATTTATTTACTTTTATTATATTAGGCTTATAGCCCACCCTACCCCTGCACAGAAGGACACCGGGCAGGTAACAACGAGAGCCAACAATACATTAAAACAGAAATAATGTAATCATTGGGAAATAAGATTCAATTCATAACAGCAAATTTAAAATTAAACAATCAGATGGCGATCAAAGATTTGATACAGCTAGTGTGTCTTCTCTCAGACAGATTGTGTTTCATGTGTGACCATGGGTGTCAGAATGGTAATTAGCAGATGGACTACCAGAGCAAGGGGAGGCCAATGCAGATGGAATTCTGCTGCCTGGTGGCCTATTTAATATACTGTAAGGAAGAAATCTGGTGCTGTCAGACAGCCCCACTCCCCAGACTGTAAACAACTTGAATTTTTTTCCCCACCAGAAGACTGCACCTAAAGGGGCTCAATTTATTGCTCTTCCTCCCACAGAGACCCCAACATTGCTTAGCCTAGTCATCCTTGACTAACCGTTAAGAGTGTAGTGGTTAAGTGTGCGGACTCTAATCTGGGAGAACCGGGTTTGATTCCCCACTCCTCCACTTGCACCTGCTGATGTGACCTTGGGTCAGTCACAAGCTCTGGCACAGCTATTCCTGAAAGAGCAGTTTGTATCAGAGTTCTCTCAGCCCCACCCACCTCACAGGGTGTCTGTTGTGGGGAGGGGAAGGGAAAGGAGTTTGTAAGCCGCTCTGAGACGCCCAGTGAAGGGCGGGGTATAAATCCAATCTCTTCTTCTTCTTCTTTTCTTCTATGTGAATTCCTCTGCATTCACAACAGGAGCAAGTGTTACAACAGAGAATAATTGCTGTGCAGAAACAGCCTTAGGTGATGTAAAAGGATGATTGAAAACATGTTGAAATTGAAAATAAACATGTATTTGTTTTACTCATCTCTGTAAAAGTTCAGAAAAGTCCATATCTGAACCATTGTTTGGGGACTATTAGAATGTCAGATGTGTCAACTGGTAAAGTTTTAGAACTAACACACAAAATTTTAATAATGTCATTGAAACCAGATGACATTGGTCTGAGAGCTCTTAAAAGATGTGAATTCTTTAAGATGTGTAACTATAGTAAATTTAACCGAGAATTATTGTAGCAACAGTTTTAAATGAAGGTATGAGGATCTTTAAGGGGATTATATTCTGTAAAGAAAAATTCATCTGAACTACATTTCTGTAGTTTACTGAGCAATTGTAAACAGAGCTACAGCTTTCTAATTTCAATGGGTTTAGAAAGGTGTAACCCTGTTTAGGACTGTCCTGTTAATATGTCTGAAATATAAATGCACAACTAGTCAATAAATTGTTTAAATACATCAGATTTTGAATGCTTTAATGTATTTAATTAAACACAGACTGTCATTACTTTAGACCGATAGGAAAACAAAAGGCAGCCTGTTTTGGGTCTTGGATCATACAAAAACTTCATTTGGACGACGAAAACTGAAGAAATGGGTGACACAGCCTCTCTTGAAATCCAGGTATTTATTATTAAATGGCATTTATACAAAATAGCTGTGCTGAGCAGAATCTAATTTATCTGAATCCGTTCACTGAGAATTTGGATGATGCTTTCAGGCTGAATAATGGCACCTTGCGGGAAGGAATGCTTGGCTTTTGGATCAGCTTTGCCTTTTTAGCTCTTATCAGAAAGAGCTTCAGATCCCAGAAGCCTTGAGATCTCTAAAATATATAAAAGTAACATGGCTTGGCAGATTTTGACTGAAACACAAAAGTTGCATGTTCTGTTTTCTCCATTTCTTTTAAACACTGACATTGCCTTTCTGATTTGTTGTTTATATTTTACTGCTGACAGAGTTGGGTTTTATTGTTCAAAGTGTCAGAGGTCTAGGAGAATTGCATAGTTGCATGCCCAATCATGGGAACTATATTCATGATAATTACAGAGAATCAAAGTGTGTTTTTTTGCACTTCCTAGGACAATTTGATATAGATAGAATTAGTGGGTAAAATGCTTTGCAAAAATGTTGAGATGGCTGCTGATATGGGACAGCGTTGTTATCTGAAAGCTTGATGTTACTTGTTTTCTGTGTAGATTCCAGAGTTCTGTTTATGTAAAATACCAGCCAGTCAGCAATTTGTATGTAAATGGATACTGGAAAAAAACTGTGAGGCTGGTTGATGTGTCTTTTGGAATGTATTTCTTTTATTTGGTTTTCTCCTAATCAGTGTGTATTCAGCAGCTTCCTCTCCTGATAAATGACTATGTGGTCCCAGCTATATATGTTGTAATTGTAGTCCGTAGACATTGATGATGATTGCAACTTTTCATTATCCAGCCATTCTGCTAGTTGTGTCATCTCTCCCTAAGAGATGGAATGTTGGATAGCTAAAGCATGTTTTAGACAGAATTGTAATTTGCTAAGAATTAAACTAAATAAAAACTAAGTCTTCTGAGGAAAATGAAGGCAGAGAGGCACTTTTTATGTCAATAGAGGGGCTACATATAATGAAAAGTTCTATATGAAGGGATTCAAAGGCTGTAGACTAATAATGGATAGATTTTTTGTGACTAATTTTCTTTATTATCTAATTAGCTGGGCCAGAGCAGCAAATCAATCTTTCGTGTTCAGGACTGAGTTTGGTTGACTGTCATTCTAAGTAGGGTTCCTATTACAGTGTAATTATGAATCCAACTTGGTATGGATGGTAATTCTATCCTGTTGTTTTACTAGGCACTTTAAGAACTTCCTGCATATTTGAAGATATCACAAGGCAGGGCTCTGAGTTGTGGAAAAAGATGAAATACTTGTAGTAGTCCTGGGTGAGGAAGAAGAGTTAAGATATAGGGTGATTTCGCACTAGAGCTGTCTCACGGCGCAGCCGCAGTTTGCCCCAACACTATTTGTCAATTTCACACCCGAGGCTGCAGGGCTGCATTTGTCCCGCGGCTTCGCCCGATTTCCTCCGCAGTTTCGTGATCCTCAAAAACCAGGATCACGAAACTGCGGAGGAAATCAGGCGAAGCCGCAAGTCAACATGCAGCCCCGCAGCTTCGGGTGTGAAATTGACATTTTTGTGTCGGGGCAAACGGCGGCTGTGCCGCGAGGCAGCTCTAGTGCGAAATCGCCCATATTCTCTTTGCACCATTCAGTACCATCAATCATGGTATCATTCTGGAAAAGCTGGCTGGGTTGGGAATGGAGGGCACTGAACCTCAGTGGTTCTGCTCCTACCTGGCTAGCCAATGTGGTGTTGGGGGACTTCCACAGAGGCTCCTTGACAGACTTGCTAAGGACATGAGGCCACTATGGACAATATGGGGAATTTCGGGATCTTGAGCTGTGTCCTTGCGAGCATTCTGGAGGGGCTGTAAAACTAAGCTATTTTGGAAGCCATTTGGAACAGGCTGAGCAATTATTCTTGAACTGACAGAACATAGGACATATTTTAAGGTGATAATTTGCTAACTGCTGTTTGTTTAGAATGATTTTAATTGTTTTGATTTGTTATTTTATTTTTTTAGTTGTTTGCCTAAGGTCCCAGCTATGCAGGGAGAATGGCAGATATAGAAATAGTGTTAAATAAATAAATAAATAAATAAAACTTCATGACCTTTACTGTAATGACTATGGAGTATGCTCTGTATGGTGGGGTAAGCTAGTCTTCTCTCATTGCCTTTTGGAAGGGGTATTGAACCCCCATTACATAAAGTGCTTGGTTTGGCTGATTAGGTTCAGTCTTTTTGCTGTTTTGGGTAGCTATTTCTGTGTTACTGATTTTGTGTTATTTTTATATGTTGCTAGTATGGTATGTAATCATGGCATCTGTCCTAACCATGTGGGGGAGAAGTTCCATCAGAACTGGCATGGGGGGAATCATGCTGCTCAACAGGGGCAGCTCAAGATCTTTTGCCTCTTCAGGCAGCTGTGGCAGTAGGGCCCCCCTTTCTACCACCCCCAGAGGAGATAATTCTCTCCATCTCTTTTCTCTCTGCAGCTGTCTTTGAATATAGTGTAGCACATGCTTGCTTCCTCACACATTTAACCACCATTTGGGTTGCTGTGGCAGCAGGCAACCAGAGATGATTGCTCAACTTTTTAAAGAACAAGGTATCTTGTGAGTTTTCAGGAATTGGTACACACAGTTTCCTGCAATATTTTTAAAGTAGCTGGGCAATCAAGGAGAATTTTTTTTTCTGTCTCACAGGTGACAAGAGGTTGGTGGTTGGCAGATAGGAAGTTTTCACCCCTCCTGCTACCATTTGATGCAAGTTGTCTACCTGAAGTTGTCTTACTATATATACTATATATAATGAGGACTCATGTTACATGATCTTTGGGACTGTAGAGTGGGGATCAAATGCATGGATTTTCCCTTTGTAGAAGAACAGAAAACTAGCAGAGAAGGTTTGGCTTAGAAGTATTTGCGTATGTGGGCAGCATTCAAACTTGTAAATTCCCATTGAATACTAATATCAGTAAATCCAGAAGAGTAACAGTGAGCAGGTGGAAACAGCAATAATGGTTTGGAACATTTATAGTGATCCAGTAGGAATTCAGCGTTCGGGTTTTACAAAGCATAGAATTCTAGATCATTCAGGTGGTAAGGATGCAGCCTGAAAATCTTCATTATCAAGAATATGAACACAGTGCTAATGTCTTGTGTTTTGACATAAACACAACATGTTGGCTGTCTAGCAAGATAATTGCTATTTTGATACACTGGAAATCGATAGGGAAATGGTGGATTTTCTAATGCATTTACACTGATAACACTAAGAGCTGTTTTCCATGTTAATTTTCTTCACACAAATTCTTAAAATGTTTGTGAAGAGATAGCTACATGTACCTTTCGTCATAGATTTCATAGATGTCTCTAAAGCAGCATTTCTCAAATTGAGGTCCAGGGATTCTTCAGAAGAACAAAGGATGACCCTTCTCATTTATTTATTTAGATTTTTATCCCGCCCTTCCAGCAGAGCCGGCTCAGGGCGGCTTACACAAACAGTATAAAACACTGCAATGTGACAATAAAATCTACAATATAAAAACCATCAATACACAATTTAAAGCTATAAATATTACAACATATTAAAGTGCCTCCCCACTGTTGGGGGGGGAGAAGGCTTGATGGCCCGGTGGCTGGGAGCCGCATGGGCCTCGCCATCGGTGCCAGGGGGGCGGGGGAGACAGCTTGGCGAGCCCGGCGGCTGGGAGCCACACAGGCCAGGGGGGAGGAGAGAAGGCTTGGTGGCCCCGCCGTGGCTGGGTGCTGGGGAGGAAGGGGAGAAGGCTCACCTGCAGCTGCTTCTTTTTCCTCCACGTGAAGCTCCCCCCCCCACGAGTATCGTGGGTCCCCGTTTGTTGTGACCTATAATACCTTCCCATTCTAGTTTGAAACCTGACACAGTTGCCAGAGCTGGGAGGTGCATTATGCTTAATGGTTCTGTGTTTGTTCTTTCAGTTCTTCAGACTTAAAGACAATAACTAGACAGATCTTTCACTGTTTTTATTGAGAAACAGCATCCAAACCCTGCCTTGCCTAAAAAGAAATAATACTTTACTGGACTCCCTGCCTTGTCAGAATACATCCTATCTTTTCTCCCTCCAAACCCCAATTCCTGTTTTTGTCTGTTGGATGTTGACTGTTAAACTCCTGAGTCCCCATCCCCTTTTCACTATTCCATTTAGCCTTTCAGACCTGATTGGCTTGCTGAACAGGGATTAAAGAGGGCAGAATCTTCTTCTGTCCATCACAGGAGCCCCTCTCTTTTCCACAGGATTGGGGCAGGTTCCCTTCTCCTTAGGAAAAGGACAGAATCCACTTGCTCTTCTCTGAAGGGGTTTATAGAACTTCTGACACCATCTAATTTCAGAATACTATCTAGGAGCTCAAAATGGTCCGGTGGTCTGGTATATATATATATATTTTGCATTCTTAGACAATAATAGCCATTTGTGGTTTTCAGTTCAGTATTAGTTTAGATTTTGTGTGATACTAGTCTTTTCCTATTTCTGTGAGCAGCTCTGAAAGTTTTTCCAGGCTCTTTCCCACTCCCTTTCAGTTGGCCTCTATCTAAAAGTGATTAACCAATAAGAAAGTTTCTTGCTGTTTTCAAGAACAGTTCCTTCCAATGAAGTCTGATATTGAGTGGAACCTGGGTCAGGGCCTTTTGAATTTTGGCCCTAAAGAAACAGCTACTCTCTTGAGATTTCCTCTTCTAGGCCATGTATAGAAAGTAACATGGGGCTGGGTGTGTGTGTGAAGGAAAGGGATTGTTGGAGAGTATCTTGTCAGATGCACAGCTATGCTTCTGCCTCTTTCCTGTTTGCAGGTGTAAAGGCCTGGTGTAGCCAGAGGTATTACAGGAGCACTTGAGGGATCCATGAGAAATGTTAATTAAAATGGTTGTCCTTGGGTTGCTAAATTTTGAGAACCACTGCTCTAAACCGAGTAATAAGCTATGCATTGTATTGTTGCATGCTATTTGTAGCTCTGTATGAATATAATAAAGATT